GGATTAGTCCGAGACTCTGAGTGATTCAATTTACGAGACCTCAAAAAGCCAAGTGACAGCAGAGACTCACTTCAATTTTGCTTGGCCGACTGCCTCAGGTGATCCTCTTGACAAGAGACCGAGTCGAATGGAGATTGAAGACGGCTCCTACTCCAAGTGTCAGCCTCTTTAATTCTTCTTGTTTGCCTGGTGATTAGGTTGAGTGGTTTTGTCGTGTTGCCAAATTTCGGCAGAGTCGAGTGGGGATAATGATTCTGGCTTCGTATACTAAGTTAACAGAGATTAAGCAGAGTCTAATGAAGGTTAATGGAGTCAAGTGATCTTTGTTGAAATCTTATGGAGACCGTAAGAGTTAGTGGTATGGCCATGTGAGAAGGTTCCAAGCTGGTTGGCTCCTAGACTCGGGGGGATGGCGATAAAACACTACTTCGACTGGAGAATAGACTTTTTTTTTTTTTGGTTTTTTATGCTTGTATCTGGACCACCTTGACAAGGTTTTTCTCTTGGTTTTTTGTGGAGGGCTCAAGCTGCCATCATGAATCCTTGCATGTTTGGTCTGCCTCCCAAGACTTTCATACGTACTAAAAGACCTATCTTCAAAAACACTCATTTTCCTTGTTGCACGTGGAGGTGATTCTGGTATAGTATGATATCTCTCTGATGATGGTGAAAAAGTTAACCTCTTACGTAAATCATTCTTGTCCTTTGAATTTCCAGGTGGTGATCTTAGAGAGTTGGAACATCGATGTGCAACTTTCATGGATTCTCATTTCCTCTAGGAGATTGCACAGGTGATCTCCTATAGTCATTGGAGACTTCCTCTTGACTGGAGATAGAGTCCTATGTCGTGGAGGAGATGGAGTCTGTGATTCAAATCCCTTATATACCAAAAAAGCTTGGTTCTATCATCGCCATCTGAGACTGAACCCGTTGATGCTTATGGTGCAAAATTTTCATCCAGTTTTGTTGCTCATAGGAATCTCCTCTCATGTTGCAAGTCATTGTTGGCAGATAATTGTCAGGGTCCCACGGTGGGCACCAAACTATAGATGAAAAAAATCTACTGTCATGAAAATAGGGTCTAACCCCGTGAGGTTGAGGCCACTGACAATCCACTAGACCAACACACATGAAAAGACAAGCGTGAAGCTTACGGAAAACACCAGGGTGGTGTTTGCTATAGGCACTCCGATGCTCAAGTCAGCAAGACTAAAAGAGATTATTTGATAAGAATTAAGGAGAAGAAGGGTTACCAATAGTCTTGTCAGAGCTAGGACTACAGCGGAGGCGTCGGGTTCTTGGAAGCAAGAACTTCATGAGCAAATAAATGGTTTTGAGTAGTTGAGATTGATTATTTTTTCTAATGAGAGGGCATACGTCTGTTTTTATAGTGAACCCAAGGGGTTGAAATCCTAGTAGGACATTGAGTCCTATTTTGGGAGATAATCCCCATCAGGAAAGAAATATAATTTCTTAACTTTATCAGATTAAGTTTAATAGTTTGAGTAAGATTTGAAATCTTAGTAGAAGAGGAAATAGAATGAGATTCTGATTTCCTATTTATAGATTGTTGTAGGCTAATGGGTTGAAACCCAGTTTAGCTTTACTTATAGGATAGCCCAACTCATAGAGTGAGTGGTTCACAAGGTGACTTTAAGCGTAGGCCCAATCGAGATTGGGCTGAGGCCTTGGGCCATGACATGTTTATTTTATTATTGGGCCTCATCAGGCTCAAGACAATTTTTGGCCCTAACAGTAAGTTAATTAATATCATAAATGTCAGATTCTTTACTAGTTTTAGAGAAAAGAAAAAAAAAAAAAAGACAAAGGAAAAGGAAAAAAGAGTTAACGACTGGTGCGTTTGGTTCCATATTATTATCCATATTCCTAATCCTATTCCCCAAATATTGTTTGGCACATTATTTGAGAAATATTATTGTATTTTTTAATTACTTTTAGACCCTTTAAGTTTATTAATTTCATTAAATACCCCCAGAAAAAAGTTTAAAAAGTAACAAAAATACCCCCTAAACCCATACTTGCCAGATTGCGGCAACCACCGTCGGTGGTAGCCGGAATCTGTTACAACGGCTTACACCACGACTAGAAAAGGCTGATAAGTCACCGATCTGGCCTTTTCCGGCCAGATCCACAACGACGACCAAAGATGGACTTTTGCGGCCGTCGACGACCACTTCTAGTCTTCGATCTAGCCTTTTCCGGCCAAATCCGTGGTGAATCTGGATGGAAAGGCCATATCGACATGTTACGACACAGATCCGACTGGTCTGTGTTGTAACGTAATTTTTCGGCCAGATTCCGACGGTGGTAGCCGGAATTTGGCATTGCGGGTGGGGTGGGGGGGTGTTTTTGTCATTTTACAATTTTTTATATATTGGGGTGTTTAGTTAAATTAGCAAACCTAGGGGGTTTTTTAGAAATTTTTAAATTTTACCTCATAATACTTCCCTATTCAACTACCCAATATTATTCCCAAAATCTTATCCAAAATAATAAACCAAATGCACCCGTTATGTTCCCACCCAAAAAATGGTCAATTGACACTTTCTCACCCATAGACTTTTAAAATGCCCCTTTACTATTTAAATAATATGTTTTCCTCTGATTTGGGGGGAAATATAATGATTTACGAAAAAACCCCTCTTCTTAGCCTCTTCCATTGCGCGCAATTGCCACCAGCATTGGGGAGTGCCGACAACCAAAAAATACTACAAACAAACATTCCTTGATTGTATTTCAACCCAACAAACACAAAAAATGAATGAATCAAACCCAATTAATCCAATTAAAACTCGAAAAACCCTAGGGTGGGGAAGCTTCAGTCTCTGGTGATTGGTGAGCAAACGGGATCGAGAATGTTGGGGCTTTTTGGAGTGGAAGATCCAAGGAGTCAATTGGTGTTGGTAGGGATGATTTCCAACACCAAAAATCGGCTTGAAAGTTGAAAGGTTGCGCGGTGCATGACAGTGATCGACGAGCAAGGTACAGTGATGGAGGCACCGATTTTGTAGAGTAGGTTGTGGGGAGTGTGATGGTGGTGTCTGGGGGAATTTATGGCAAAGAAATCGACCGGAAATCTGGCTTGAAGAGTTGGCCATGCGAATGGAGGTGGTGGTGGGAAATGGTGAGTGATTATGGCAAATGGAGGCTTGGGCTTCGTAGAGGAGGTGATGGGGATTGTGTGGGTGGTCTCAGAAGTGATTTTAAACATCGGGATCAGCCGAAAAACGACAAAAACTGCCAGTTATGAACGCTGCTAACGTGCACCATCCTTGTTCTTTTCTTTTTCTTCAGTTGCCAATGTTTGTTGATCATTTTGCCTTCATTAATAATGGACTTTTAATCATGTTGCCATTCCTCACAATGAAAGTTACTAACAAAATTATGTTTTGGATACTAAAAAGGTATTTAAAAAGTGAATGGGTATGAATTTGTCAATGACCATTTTTTGGGTGGGAACTTGTGGTTAACTAAAAACACCCTTACGCGTGTACCAAAATTGGTTCAATGAACGTGGAGACCTCATTTTAATAGGAAAAAAATTCATTAAGTTTTTATTTTATTTTATTTTTATTCAAATTCATGCAATGAAATGAATATTCGTTATTATTAAGAGAATATACATTTAAAATTAATTGTAACAACCCTAAAATAAAATGTGTAATACCTATTATCATATTTTATGTGTAATATTTTTAAAATTTAAACTAATATAAATAATTTTTCTTTTGTCTTTTTGTGTTATCCTATCTATAGCATTAAAGGAAAGAGTCAGATTATTGTAATACAGATAAATGACACAAATTCATTACCATTAATTAATAATAACTTAAAAAAGTTTATAGATTAAACAATGAAAACATATTAGAGTTATAAAATTTAATATTTTATTACAAAAAGAAATGTATAAATATAATATTTTGACTCCTAAATTTAGATTATAGAGATTTGTTGATGCGTGATTTTGGTACCAACGACTCGCACGTACTAAGTGCTAAGTTGTTCTTAGAAATTACATGTGAATGATTCATGAGAAGTGTTTATGGTGCTGAGATGATATATGTTTGATGAAACATAAATAAAAGATGGATAAGAGGGATTTTTATAGTGATTCAGATGCTTAAAGCGAATCCTACATCCAATGTTATTTTATTATTCTTTGATTATTTTTATGATATTGTCAGTATGACTTATAAAGATGAAGAAAAACTTTGTTTACAGAGAAAAATAATGAAACTAAAATCTATGCTCAACCTCATTTTTTCATGAAGAGAGGTGTCCATTTATATATTTGAGATCAATGTAATGAGTGCTTTTACAAGTTGTCTTGACACGTGGAGATCACTTATTAATTCTTATCTTAATTGGAGGCGGTTTGAATTTTTGACAACTAATACCACCTTATCTTTAAGTGTTTGTTGAATTCTGATTGGTGATATTGACATTAGTGTGTATTTTTAGCATAACAAAATTATAAATATTTATTGTGGAAATGAATAACACAAAATATATCTTATTTGGAGGGATATTAATAACATTAATTTAGTATTAATGAAAAAATAATTTATTTAGCGAGACCATAACTTAAGGAAAGGCCAAAGGCAATTGGTAAGTTTGCTTGAGCCAGTATGTGTGCAGCCTGATTTTGTTATGTGTTTCAATTTAATTCGATGTTTTAATTAAATTTTTTTATTAAGTAGGTTAAAAAATAATGAAAATTATGATTATAGAAATGAAAATAATTAACTGAAATAAATTAAACAGAAAAAAGAAAAATAGGTGTTACAAATTTTACCCGGGAGTGACTTGGACTTGGGTTTACTACGTTGTTAGTTGTCGGTGGAGTTTAGTGGGGTCACTCCCTTTAAATTGTTCCTTTCCTCCAAATCCAGCCTGTTCTCCCTTATATCTCCACCATCTTTCCTCACCTACGCGATCTCTACCGTCGATTCCATCAAAACTTGTTCGACTTTTAACTCAACAACACATGGCACCACTCGTCTACACACCCTGACAAAGACCCGCGATCTAACACTCCCTTCTTTCCTTATTTCTTCGCCTTCATTTTCATTCTTTCTCCAATCCAATCGATCTCATTCTCAGTAACAACAATGAGGAGCATTCTCGTGACGCTAACGGCGTTTCTGGCGCTGTCAACTCTGTTTACACTCGGCGTTAACGGAGATCTCTCGGAGAAGACGGTGGTTAAGAAGGTGAAGGGGAAAAAAGTGTGCACGAGAGGTTGGGAGTGTAGCACGTGGTCAAAGTATTGTTGTAATGAGACGATTTCGGATTTTTTTCAGACGTACCAGTTTGAGAATTTATTTTCGAAAAGAAATTCGCCAGTGGCTCACGCTGTGGGCTTCTGGGATTATCAAGCTTTTGTATTGGCTTCGGCTATGTTTCAGCCGCTTGGATTTGGTACAACTGGCGGGAAGCTCATGCAGATGAAGGAGGTTGCCGCGTTTCTCGCTCATGTTGGCTGCAAGACTTCTTGTGAGTTCTTTCATTTAATTTAATTTTATATTTACTTAATTAATTAATTTATTTATTTTTTATTCTAATTGTTTGGAAATGTATTGAGCAATTGTTTTGTAGAAAGAAAAAAGTTGTTAAATTTTGTGTTTTGGAGATATTGAATATGTCTGCGATTGTTTCAGTAAGAGTTCTTGAAAATTGCTAAAAAAAGAACTGAATTTATAGTGCTGGATTGATGTTAAAAATGAAATTTAATTGAATTTCATGGTTTATTAAGTTGAATTCAAGTGTATTACGTGGATATGTACTCAAAAGAGTTGAATTTATTTAGGCAATTTCGTCTTAGATTTGATTTGGATGGAGACGGGGTCATATTTGCAAAGTAATTAGGGTTTGTTTTTGTAAATGTATTGGGTAATTGTTTTTGAAATTGTTTTGTAGAACGAAAGTAGTTAAATTTTGCATTATTGAGATACGTGAATGTGTTTATTTTTATACTGAAAACAGTTTTGAAGAACTAAAATTGGGAAAATCACTCTAGTACTGATATTTGATAATCTTGAAAAGAGATTTTAGAGAAATAAAATTGGAGTTTTGTGTGTTTTCTGAATTCTGTCTTCAGAAAGCTGATATAATGTCTAATTCGTTTTCCAATTACGTTGAAATCATTTTATCTACAGTTTTGTTTGTACATCATAAAATAGCTGAAATGATAATGAGCAAGCCCTTAGCAACTGTCAGCTTAAATTCTTAATTTCCAGTCCTAAAGTATAATTACGTTGGAATTGAGCAATATTTTTTTATCTGTTCCAAACACACTATTAGAATTTGAAGTTTTAAAGTACTTTTCATTAGATTTAATCGTGTTTGAAATTTCAATCGGTTGTCTTGTATTCAATCACACTCTTTTATTGTTTACTTAATTTGTGATGGTTGATGGCTATATTAGGTGGTTATGGAGTGGCCACTGGAGGACCATTGGCATGGGGACTTTGCTACAACAGGGAAATGAGCCCAAGCCAGTCATACTGTGATGACTCCTACAAATTCACCTATCCTTGCAGCCCTGGAGCTGAATACTATGGTCGTGGTGCAATTCCTATTTATTGGTATGCATCTTTTATTCTGTTATGTAATTGAAATACTCTTTCATTGTTATTTTCTGGCATGCTACACAGTCTTTCTTTCAATGGAATGTTGTTTTTCCATGGAAATCACAATGATATTAGCCCGTGTGACTGAGTTCTTTTGGAAGACAATTCAAATGATACTTTTCTTGGAACACATGCGTTACACTCTTTCTTTGGAAGAATTTTTGTTAGTATTTTCCGTGGAATGACAATGATAATAGCCTATGTATGAGTTCCTTTAAAACGCAATTCAAATGATGCTTTTCTTGGTGTTTTTGTTATAGGAACTTCAACTATGGAGCTGTAGGAGAAGCTTTGAAGGTGGATCTTTTGAACCATCCAGAATACATTGAACAGAATGCTACCCTTGCCTTCCAGACTGCAATTTGGAAGTGGATGACCCCGATCAAGAAAACCCAGCCTTCATCCCATGATGCCTTTGTTGGCAACTGGAAGCCGACCAAGAACGACACTTTGTCCAAGCGGGGGGCTAACTTTGGCACCACAATGAATATCCTCTATGGTGATCTTGTATGCGGTCAGGGTGATATTGATCCCATGAACAACATTATCTCCCATTACTTGTATTACCTTGATTTAATGGGAGTTGGCCGAGAGGAGGCAGGGCCGAATGAAGAACTCACTTGTGCTGAACAGGTGGCATTCAATCCATCCAAACCCACTTCCACTGCATCTTCTTGAGGTCTGTATAATGAAATTTGGTGCTCAATTGCCCTTGCTATTGATGGACTGGTTCTGTCCAAAAAGGAACCATTAAGAATAAGACTGGGCCAATTAAGTTATTTGTTGTAAGATTATTCTTTTTTTCAGCTTTAGTCTTTGTGTGAGTATATACTGTCAAGTACAATTATAGTGTGTGGATTGTTTTGTCACTACTGGTCATTCTTCATCGTTGTAGATTTGAGATTCATTTTTTTTGGTTTGTGAGATCTATCTTATATGTGGTTACATTTTATGTACTAAATGAACCATTTTGTTGTTACGTGTTTCAATAGAAGAACTGTAAAATACAAATATTATATTATACTTCTCCTAGCTTTTGATCGTCTTAATTTGTTTCACTACACTAAGGAGGAACAGAATAGAAAAGCAAGGCCTCTAAGCATAAAGCCTTTTCCAGTCAATTCGAAATGGGTAGTGTACTAGTGCAATGGATGGGTGACATGGGTCCAAAGTGATATTGACACTTTCATCCTTGAGGTTTGAGGTAAGTTCTACCTGTCTCAGTATCATGGGATACAAACACTTTAATCTTGTTAGATGATAGATGTAACATGTAAGTGTTGTTTACCCACTTTCTTAACGTCATAAGGGTAAATCTGACATATTGAAGAACTGTATACTTTAGAAACCTCTTACGGAGTTAAAAAAGTGGGGCAACATATTGATGTTATTTATCCAAAGTGTTTGTACACTATAGTACTATGGCAAAGTAAACAAACCTCAGGGATGCAAAGGGTAAATAGCCCCGAGTTCCAAATCTTCAAGCAATCCATTAACAGAGTGAAATGTGACAAAGAAAATTGAATCAAAACATGTTAGATTGTGGCACCTTTTCTTTGTACAAGATATCCATGCGTAAATCGGTGATTTTGACGAACAAATTGCGCTAATAATTGTCAGCATTACCACAGTTTTCCATAATTGGAATTAAAGATTGTCGTTTACAATAAATCCACTGCACCATAAACCAGTGGAATTTTATGCGTACACTTGAACTTTGGAAGGTCAGCTTCGTCTCGTTCAAACTTACCAGCATACCAGAGTCCCCAACCACTAAAAATTCAAAGAAGAAATGCATCGCAATGAACACATTGTGATGCTGCCAATGATGGCTCATGGCCATCTGATTCCTTTTCTGTCTCTAGCAATGCACATCCACCATACAACTGGCTGCACCATAACCATTGCCAACACTCCTCTCAATATCCACTACCTAAAATCCACCATCTCCACCAATTCTAATCCAAACATACGCCTAGCCTAGCTTCCTTACTGCAGCTCCGATCATGGCCTACCACCCAACACTGAGAACTTGTCTTTGGATCAAATTGGCAGATTTGTTGCTTCAACAGAAAATCTCAAATGTCTTCATAATCTCTTAGTGGATATCACAGAAAAGGAAGGTAAAACTCCCCTTTGTACAATAACAGATATTTTCTTTGGATGGGCTATTGATATTGCTAAGTTCTACAACTGGTGCCTATGGAAGCTTGGCATATTTTTCTACATGGCTTACTCTTCCTCACAGGAAAATGGACTCTGATTTCAATGTTCCGGGGTTTCCTGAAAGATGTCGTTTTCATGTCACAAAGCTGCATCATTTTTTCAGAATGGCTGACGGTACTGATCCATGGTCGAGGTTTATGCAGCCCCAAATTTCAATGTCATTAGGGTCATATGGAATGTTATGCAATACAGTTGAAGAAGTTGGGCCACAAGCATTGGAATGGCTGAGAAAATATACCAAAATTCCTGTTTGGACTGTTGGTCCTCTTCTTCCGCCAGCTTTTCTCAAGAAGTTGTCGTCTTCGGTGCAGTCTAGCAATCATAAACAACATTCGGGTAAACTTCATGGAATAAGTCTAGAGATGTGTGTTGAATGGCTTGATTTGCAGTATCCTGATTCGGTTCTTTATATTTCTTTTGGTTCACAAAATACTATTAGCCCATCGCAAATGATGGAATTAGCCATAGGATTGGAAGAAAGTGAGATACGTTTCATTTGGGTCATAAGGCCACCTACCGGTTTCGACTTTAGAGGTGAGTTTACAGCAGAATGGTTGCCTGAAGGCTTCGAAGAACGAGTGAAAAAAAGTAAACAAGGCTTGTTGGTGAGAAACTGGGCACCTCAATTGGAGACATTGTCACACAAATCGACTGGAGCATTTTTAAGTCATTGTGGGTGGAATTCAGTGATGAAGAGCTTAAGCCAAGGAGTGCCATTGATCGGGTGGGCTATGGCAGGAGAACAAGCTTTCAATTCAAAGATGCTGGTTGAGGAAATGGGTGTTTCTGTAGAGTTGACAAGAGGATTGCAAAATATTGTAGGGAAGGAGGTGAAAGAGGTAATAATATTGGCTATGAGTAAGACACAGAAAGGAGAAGAAATGAAACAAAATGCTGCAAAGATTAGAAAGCAAATAAGGGCATCAGTGATGGAAGAAGGAGAAGCCAAGGGATCTTCCATAAAAGTGTTGGATGATTTTGTTAGGTCCATTGTTTCAAGGAGACTGAGAGAAATCAGTTTGTTAAAATAAGTGATACGGATTTTTTTTTACATTTTATAAATATGTTTCAAGTCCATCTTTGTTAGTATACGGATCTTCTCCAGATCTGAACTTCGAGTCCACTGTTTGGTGTTTCCAGTCCATTGTTTTATGTTTCAAGTCCAATAACAGGGTTTGAAGAAAGAATAAGTAAAAACAAACAGGTTTAATTGTACACTAATGGGCAATCCAGTTAGAGATATTGTCATAGAAATCAACAGGGGCATTTCTTAGCCACTGTGGGCGGAAAGGGTCATCTCCTAAATCAATGGATGATTTTGATTAACGGGGGAGAGCAATCAAAGTCGTTGAAACAGTACCAATGACAAAAACTCTCTTCAAGTCTTTGGTGGAATTTTAGTAGAACAGGACAGAAACACACTTATCAAAGCAAATAATATTCTTTTGACAGATTAAGGTATGCAAAACTGTAGTGGTTGAGCTCAGAATAGAATATAATCTTATTCAGAATAATCTTCCAGAATTAAGAAAATTAAATAAAGCTTGAGATGTTCATCCAAAAAAGAACAGAAAAACAAATTATATAAAATTTATTTCAACCAATCGATTGTTGCACTTGTCTCCTTGACAAAATGTTTCTCAAAAACTCATCCAATGCTTTTACAGAAGATCCCTTCTCTTCTCCTTCTTCCTTCACTGATGCCCTCATTTGCTCTCTAATCTTTGCAGCATTTCGCCTTATTTCTTCTCCTTTACCTGTTTTACTCAAAACCAATTCTATTACCCTTTTCACCTCTTTCCCTTCAATACTTAGCGGCCCTCTTGTCAACTCCACAGAAACACACATTTCCTCCACCAACATCATTGAATTGTAAGATTGCTCTGCCGCCATAGGCCACCCTATCAATGGCACTCCTTGGCTTAAACTCTCCATCACTGAATTCCATCCACAATGACTTAAAAATGCTCCGGTCGATTTATGCGACAAAATCTCCAATTGGGGTGCCCAGTTTTTCACCAACAAGCCTTGTTTTCTTTTCGTCACTCGTTCTTCGAATCCTTCAGGTAACCATTCTGCTCTAAATTCACCTCTTAAATCGAAACCAACAGGTGGCCTTATGACCCAAATGAAATGTTTCTCACTTCCTTCCAATCCTATAGCTAATTCCATCATTTGCGATGGGCTAATAGTGTTTTGTGAACCGAAAGAAATATAAAGAACCGAATCAGGATCTTGCAAATCGAGCCATTCAACACACATCTGAGGAGATACTCCAGGAATTTTACCTGAGTGTTGTTTATAATCGGTAAAGCCTGAAGGTAATGATTTCTCGAGGAAAGGCCGGGGAAGAAGAGGACCAATAGTCCAAACAGGAAGCTTTGTATAATTTCTAAGCCATTCAACTGCTTGTGGCTCGATTTCTTCAACTGTATTGCATAACATTCCATATGATCCCAATGACTGCGAAAGCTGTGGCTGCATAAATCTAGACCACTCATCACTTCCATCGGCCATTCTTAAAAATCGATGCAGTTGTGTGATATGCAAACGACATCTGTCGGGAAACCCCGGTATACGAAACTCATCGGAATCTGTTTTCCGATGAGGAAGATTCAGCCACAAGGACATATATGCCAAGGTGCCATAGCCACCGGATGTCGAAAAAGTAACATTAATAGTTCCTGCACTTCTTGCAACATCCACAGCCCATCCAAAGAAAACATCTGTTATCATACAAAGAGGAGGCTTGCCTTCTTTCTCTTTGATATCTATTATGAGTTTATGAACTGGGGTGCTAAGGCTTTTTGAAGATGCATAAAAGGTACCAATTAGATCAAACGGCAAGTTCTCAGTGTTTTCAGTACTGGATGGGAGGCCATGATCGGAGCTGCTGTAAGGGAGCTCAACAAGACGTAGTTTTGGATTTGAGTCTGTGGAAATGGTGGATTTGAGGTACTGGATATTGAGAGGAGTGTTGGCAATGGTTATGATGAAACCTGTTCTTTGTTGGATCTGTCTTGCTAAAGCCAGAAAAGGAATCAGATGGCCATGAGCCATCAGTGGCACCATCACAATGTGCTCATCAGCGCCCATTTTCTGTACTCTCTTCCACTTCCATCAGCTGATTGTTGTTGGAAATTTAACAAGGACTGTGCGTCGGCAAATTAAATTCGAGGTCGGCCCGCGGAAGGTTTTAGGTATAGATGAATATGACTAATGTTAGGTATACAATCCAATCTCATAACCTTATCCCATAATTCTCAATACGACAGTTTCAATTTATAAATGAATAGATGAGATCTATAATAAGCAGGTGAGACCATTTATGAAGTGGGGATTGCTAGATAAGAATGTGGACCACTGGACCTAACATTACTGTCTGAATAATGTGCTTTTCATTTTTCAGGCCCGGGGAATGACTAAGTTTTACAAAATTTGATAGTACAAAATCAGAGAAAACGACTAAACGAGGAGGTGGGAAAGAAGTGGACCCACCTCCGTTGTATACAAAATTATCCACCAGAAATTATATTAAATGACATGGTTTTGGACTGAAATTGAGAAGTAGTTATATTTTAACTTTTTTTTTCACAAACTGTCATTTTTTTTCATTTTCTATTAAATTTCAGATGAAAATATCCCTACATAAAAATAAATTCTAACCTCTTCCACTCCATCTTCAACTCCATTAGCTTGTTTTCGGATCTACGGTATGTAATATGCTTGTTCTCCTAATTTTTCAATAAACTTATTATGAAATGTTATTTTGTTGCTGTAAAATATTATTATGTTGCTTTTTTTTTTTTTTTTTCTAAATTTTTTTATTGAGAAGTGTAGGGATGAAAGATTCAAAGTATAGAGAGTTTTTAGGGTTTAGTTTGACTTATTTATTAAGTTTTGCTTCAAAATATAGGGTTTTTAATGGAGTTTTGGTCTAAATTGAGATATTGGTTTGATTGTTCTGTTATTATGTGAATTTGGGTGGATTGAATGGGAATCAGATCATGAAAATGGAAAACGAAGACTTGCATTTTTTGGCCAAAACCCATGGATTCAACCGGATTCAAACATTTGGCCAAAGATTACATGTCATTTTATGAAGAAGAAATCGGGATTTGGTTGAATTAGGTAGATTCAACTTAGATTTGGCAAGGTAGGTTCTATCAAAATGGTCAAATTCGGCTGAATGACGTGGTTTCAACCTTATTTGGCCAATTCGACCACTTTCATACCAAGTGCAAAGTTAGCCAAATCTAGACAATACGTGGGTTTCAACCAAAACTCATCTTCAACCTCCAACAATTTTTTTGTCTGAATCCTTCGAAGTTAGCTGAAACTTATACCCAGATTACACATAAACCACCAATTTTCAACATATCTATTGAAATATAAGCTTACTCAACTATAACAACAACAACTAATTTCAAAAATGACTTATTTAACAGATTTCGTAGACATATATGCAACATACTCAAAATTTTAAATTTCAAACAACTTTCAAATACCAAAACTTACCTCTTTTCTCTTGTGAAACATTTAATAAGCCAATATATCATGAAATTCATTAAAAAGTTCTCCTTTAAGATCACAAAATCAAGTCTTTAGTTGAGATTTTAGAGTGAAAGCATGGGTTTTGAATTAATAGGTAGGGATTTGTCATTTGGGACAATTTCATTTTGCCAAATTTTTGCTAAGTGAAAATGTGATATTTCTTGAGACACTTTACAAAAAGTGCTAGTTTTCAACTCCCTCTCCCTATTTGTGCCATTTAATATAATTTCTCCACCTCTTTTACATAAGGGCTCATCTTTTTTATTTAAAAAATTAAATTTAATAAATAATTAATATAATCTTGCTCTCTTAGGATTTTACTGTTTTGCCTTTAGGGAAATTCAGATACTATAGAGGCACCTTGGTTTCCAGAGTAAAAATCTTGTTTCTATAAACCAAATATGCCCCTCATGCTTTTAGAGTCTTGCAGAGTTCTAGGTACTACAGCGCTACTGCTTTTTTATTCAAGGTTTGGCTTCTGCGCCACAATCCTTTGGGCGGTTAAGTTTTGAATTTTGAAATTGCAATTTTATGGCGGTTGGACTTCTAACAGAAGTGGGTGACCATTATGGCGAGTGGGCGGTTTGATGGGGACATATTTATGCATCTACACCTGCCACGTTAGTTGTGTTACAACTATTGCTGGGCGTGTGGGTCTTGTGGTCGTGACACCTAGCAGCTATTTTCGATAGTCGGGATTCGACGCCAGCATTGCCTTATAAATCTTGCCTTGCTGTGTTCTTTCTATTTTGGCTTTGTCAAGTGATGAGAAGAGTGGTGGTGTGTTCTGTAGGTTGTAGACTGCTAGCGTGGAAATTATTAGTAGTGTAAAAGCTCCTGTTAAGAGAAGGAGTCGTAGGGTGCGACAAGGGGTGGGAAATTGTGGCGCCAACACTAAGCCCTCTAAACTGGTGAAAGTAGGCTCATATACTATAGGGTTAAGTATAAAATTCTAGACATTGTTACGCTTTGAGCCCTCCAGTGAGGTTTGTAGTCTTTTATCCTTACACTTTTAAATGTGGCTTGAGACTTCCCCTTCCAAATGAGTTGAGACAATTTCTTGTAGATACCAGGATAACCCTTGGTCAGATTGTTATAAACAGACAGGGTGATTATGGCTTGTAGGGTTTTGTGGAGGAATTGTTTCTTTCATGAGATTACTATTATAGTAGATGCCCTAGAGCTAATCATATTGTTGTATATTGACTCTATGAATCATGTTATTCTATTAATAAAATGCATCGTTTGTATTATGTAAATCATATTCTATATGTATGTGTTAATATCTATCCTTACAGTGGTTGAATCGTGACGAGTGAATCAAGTAGTGATAAGTCTTGATTGTGAGATCTCTATGATCATATTTGGTGACCATTCTAGAAACATCCGTGGCCACAGTATTATCCTAACTCAAGACACAGATAATACGATAAGACTATCATAGTATTGAATGACCCTACCGGAAAGTAGTGACAAATCTCACATGTCAAGGTTGTTAGGTGACAACTTGGTGCGACGCATAGGTGCTTCTTATTCACAAGTTTATCGAAGTGGCCCATATAAAGGATTCCAATAGATGGCAACTCCAATGTCTATGGAATACATCCTCTAACAGATGGTGGTGCATGTGGTCCTTAGACTTGAGATCACCAGAGCGCTGTGTGTAAACATTGGTGTAGTTTGACACTAGCTTAACGTAATCCTATTTAGGGTTATTAGTATGGTAGTGATTGACTACATTGAGAAGTGCACTATGACTATGGTGGATCAACAAATGATTCATCACGGGTACAGGAGAAATTATCTCGGTGAGACATTTAGTAAGAGACAACAACTTTAAACCTATGGCCATAGTGGAATCGAGTTGTTGCTCGGTTGGTCGATTAGTCCGATAACCGAATTTGAATATGTCAAGATGGTTCATACTTGAAGCTGATATTATTTTTGTGCTTCAAACTTTGATGAGATAATAGATGATGAAATAATTTGACTGTACGATAACCATCTGTTGATAGGTAGCGAATACGCTGAATCCGAATCTGTTGGGGGGCTATGATGTCTTGCTAGAGGCCAATTTTGGTCTATGTGTAATGAGATGATTAATAGAGTGTTGATCGCGATATTACTCACTGTCAATATGATGAGGAGCTTATGAGTCAACACACTTAAAATACAATTTAAAGAAGATAATGAGTGAGGGGCATTTTCGTCATTTACATACAAGGGGTATTTTGGTAAATTTTACGGAGCAATTAAATTTGCTGGAAAGGTTGTTGCCTGGATCTAATCTTGTATTGGATTTAATTTGTAAGATTGAATATTTATTTAAATAAATATTGTGTGGTATGTATATTCTAAATAAATAAAATGTCATTATTTAAATATATATATTGTTGTATATATATTTTATTGCATGTTTGGCTTAATATTTTTATCCGTATTCTGGATCCTATTCTCCAAATAATGTTTGGCACATTATTCCAGAAATATTACCCTATTTTTTTAATTACATTAAAACCCCATAAGGTTATTAATTTCAATAAATACCCCTTGAAAAAAAAGTTTAAAAATTAACAAAAACACCCCCATCAACCCAACTTGTCAGATTCCGGCAACCAGCGACTTCCGACCAGAAATGGCCGGAAGTTCACCGCTGTGGCCTTTTCCGGCCAGATCCACCACGGATCTGGCCGGAAAATGCCAGATCTGGCCGTCAGTGACGGCCAAAGAAATGGCCGTCGTTGACGGTCAACGACGGCCAAATCTTGGCCGTCGTTGACCGAAAACGAAGGCCACAAGATGGCCCTCGTTTGGCCTTTTCCGGCCGTCGACGGCCATAACAGACCGTAGATCTGGCCTTTTCCGGCCATATCCACCATGGATCTAGCCGGAAAAGGCCATAACGACGTGTTACGGCATAGATCCGACCGGCCTGTGCCGTAACAAAATTTTCTGGCCAGATTCCGGCGGTGGTGGCCAGAATCTGACACTGCAGGTGGTGGGGGTGTTTTTGTCATTTTATATGTTAGGGTCTTTAGTTAAATTAGTAAACCTAAGAGCTTTTTCATAAATTTTTAAAATTTACCTCGTAATACTCCCCTATCCAATAACCCAATACTATCCCTAAAATTCTATCCAAAATACTAAACCAAACGCACCTAAATATTGAATAATTATTATCGGATGAATAAAATAATAATTGCTTAATACCTGATTAATTAATTTCTTTGGAAATCATTAAATCTAATTATTTAATTAGATGGGAGTATATTGGGAATATATCCTAAAAAGGGGAGATTAGGGTTGGCCTATAAAAGGGCACTTTTCCCCGAATCTCCCATATCCTTTGAATTGCCCCCAAGCTAAAGGTTGAGAGAAAAAATTTCTTAAAATTGTTTCTTAACTCTTTTTTTCTTTAAACTACACAAATCACTCTAGCAAATTGATTGTGTGTAGAGTCTTGTCTTTGTGTGGTTTTCAGTTAGTTTACTTCCATTCTTGAAGGGGGAGCGTTTTCAACGATCAATCGAAGGAGCCATCAATGTGGGTGAGAAATTGAAACCTTGAATGCATGGGTTTTATTGTTCTTAAGCATGTAAACAACGTTATATCTCTTATAAGGATTTTGGGCTTTAGGTTTTAATCTGGAAATTTTTGGTTTTCGCTGCGTATTTTTTTGATTAATTCCTAACAATTACATCGCTTGAGTTGAAAAGCCTT